CACCCCCATTTCCTTCTTGTGCTGTGGTGACCAAAACTGGACACAGCACTCGAGGTGCGGTCTCACGAGTGCCGAATGTCACGGCTCAGGCAGCGGAGCCGAGGCGGTGAAGGAGCCGGGAGATCTTAACCAGCTTTTTGTCTTATCAAAAGGCAGCCCAGCCTCTGCCCGTCTCCCTCCCAGCAGGGTGATGCCCACTGGGGTTTCTCTTCCCAGCAGATGCTGGGTGGGTAAGCGCAGGGCTCCGGACACGCTCCCAGGCTAACCTCATCACAGGGGGAGAGCATGAAGGCTCAAGGGAGAAAGAAACCTCGAAAACAGCCAACACTTGCCTCAGGAGTTTGTTACCACAGTTGTACAAGGGCAGTTTGGGCTGGATCTCGCGCGTGGTGAAGGCAAGTGGGGAATCTGTACCTCAGGAGTCTCACAAGCAGCTTCTCTCGCCTCGTCGAGTTCAAAGCACTCTGGGTTGCTGCAGAGAGGCACTTCCCACCCACGGCAACGCTCTCGGCACCCTGGGGTCACCCGAACAGAGGCTTCCGGCTCACACGACGACACCGCAGCCTCTTAACGCCTCGGATTTCAACCTCTCCTAATCCCAGAGCCACACTGTCACTGCCGGTGGACGGCAAAACGGGTTTTTTGGTGTGCCACGGATCTCACCCCGCCTCGTCCCTGACCCTCAGAGCTCCGCACACACTGAAGTTGCTTCTCTGCACCCAACACGTGAGACCACAGGACTAAAGACCGGTCACCTCCGCGAGCCTCCTAGTCCTTCTGCCACCACACCAATGTCTTCTCCAAGCCATCCTCCTCCCTGACCTCTCTGCTCTTCCCTAATTCTCTCTGGCCAACAAAACCCACCAAAACTCTGCTCCATGCGTCTGCCTCTGTCCCTCCCAAGTCACTCAGCGGTCCCTTCCTTCTGCTCCTGTGTTTGGGGTGCTCCACCGACACCCATGGGCTCTCACAGGCTGGTGTCTGAACCCCCTGCTCGGCCCCAGGGTGGGGAAGGGTTAAAACTCACGACATCACCGAAAGTCACCGAACCAGCCGCAAAATTTGAGTCCCTCGGAACAAACCGTCTGCCAGACCACACGGCTCAAAGAGTATCTACTCATGGTATCTACTCACCAGAGCAGGGAAAGGGGAAGAGCTCAGGGGAAGTTAATGCTCTCAGCTAGCGAGAGGGTCGGTTTGCTTTAGCTTCAAATCCAGCAACGAGAAAGCAAAAAGCAGGGGGACAAGGGGACACATTGGGCCACATCTCCAAACCAATGCAAGGGAAGATGATGAAAGAAGGGAGAGGAGACAGAGAGAAAGAGGAAGACAGAGAGAGAGAGACAGTGAGAAGTGAGGAGATACTCACCAAAGAGACATGAAGAGGTGCCAGGAGGAAGAGCTTTCCTCACCAGCATGTTTTGTTTCAGAAAAGCAGCGAACTGAGCTGAAATGAATCAGAGAGAATTACAGTATCACAGCCTGGCTTGAGACGGGGAACTCCAGGGACACGGCTGCGACCCCCGGGCAGAGACCTCAGAGCGGGCAGAGAGCTCTCGGACGTGACTCATCCGGCCAACGGGGCGCAAATCACCCACCTCTGGCACGACAAGGGGGCATCGTCTTTTAGAGAGCACCAGCCCTCTCCTGTCCCACAGCCATCAGGGAAAAAGGGCCGGCACCCAGAGAATGGGTTTGGCTATGAGAGGCACAGCTAGCTTGACCGAGAAGCCGAGAGACGTCGGGCAGCGCGTCCCCAAAGAGCCACAGCCCCAAAACCACCGGCCAGAAACCACCAGAGCTCCGGGCAGAACACACTTTGCTCTGCAGACCCTCCTCCCGCAGGCTACCGACAGCTCCCTCCCTCCGCTCCGACAACAAAAGGAAGAGATTTCTTGAGTTCACGGTCTGAGAAATTAAAGGGAGATCCGAGCTTCAACTCCTCCCTGTGTTAGAGAAAGAATGTGGAGGAGGGTCACACCGAAGACGACCACAAGCCTCGTCAGGTCTGGTTTGAGCAAAGAAATAAAGAGGATGGAGAGTGATTCCCGCTGCGATTTGCCAGAAGGGGTCATCATCCACAAAACCATCACCTACGGTCCCAGCGTTCGCAATCAGACTGAAGCTACACCGGAAGGTTTACAAAGGGCATCTAACAGGACCAAGAAAAACCCAAACCAACCCCACAGCTCACACTGGTTTCTTATTCAGAGCGGGTTTTGCATTCAATACAAGCTGACTCTGCCTTCACCCAAGCCCCTCTGTTTCAGTCACGACTCAACAGCCTCAATCTTCTCTTTCTGTCTCCCTTTGAGGATACGAGACTCCAGTCAAGGGGCTCGCGCTCGAGCGAGACTTAAGACAACAGCTACGTGGCGATTTAGGCAGAGCAAGCAAAAATCCTCCCCACTTTGAGCAGGGCTGAGGCTCTACAAGCTGTGGGAAGCCCATTTCCAACAGAATTTCAACCTTCCACACGCTGCCGCCTTCAGACGACAGCGCCAGGGGACCGAGCTGCAGAGAAAGTTGCCGCGGGGAGCTTGGAAGTCGAGACAGGACTCGGAAAGCAACCAAAGCTACACACGACGGGGCGGACAGAGACCGAAAATCCAGCTGCTAAGAGGATACGAGGGCGGGGGAGCTGCAGGGCGGTACCTTGCGCCTGCTTGTGCGTCAGGACGGTGTCCGTCCTCTGCGCCTGCCTCTTGAGGAGCTGCGTGGCGCCGATCTGGCCGGGCTTCTGGAGGGACGACACCGCAGCCATTTTTGTCTTGGGGCTCGAAGTGGGGCTGCTGGAGACGCTGGATAAGTCCTGCCCAAAGAGAAGGAACACCTCTTACCCCGGCTTTGCTTACGAGGCAGCTGTAACCCCAAGCAGAGCAGCATCCCGGCTCGAAGGATTCCCCGGGAGAGTCCCCACCTCGGAGCCTGAAGGCGAGGCGGGCACTTTGGCTGCAGGCGAGGTGGGCCTGCTGCTTCTTTCGGGCAAGTCAAAGGACAGATCCCTCCGGGTCGAGTCACGCGGCTTCTTCTTCTTCTCAGCGTCCAGGTCGCGGGGATCGGAGCCCGAGTGGCTCACTCGGGTGAGGACTCCAGTCAAGAAGTCGGCTATTTCATCCTAGGAAGGACAAAACAGTTACACTAAGGGGTGTGCTGTTCTCTAAATAACTGATCTCCACAGCTTGAAACAAACAAAAAAGACGAAAGATTCCCAAAGAGACAGATGAGGCTCTCTAGGGTTTAATTAAATGCATTAACCAGGAAGCTCACGTCTCCCCTCCCTTCAAAAACCCACCCAGGAGAGTTTACCTTCACCCAACTCATCCTGGCAGGCAGGTTGTAACTTATGGTGGATTTCTTTCTTTTTTTTTAAGAGATGTGAAGCGTTAAAGGAAGATTTCTGTGGTTACCTGGATGCATCTGTCCACCATGCTCTGGGTCAGGCCTTCTGACTTCTTTTTGGCTTTGCTTATCCTATTAAAAAAAAAAAAAAAAAAGACACATGTTCGGTTTCCAACTTTGAGGCTCACAACACTGTTCTTCACCTAAAAGTAAGATTCTAGCGACAGTAACCTCACTCCCTTACCCAGTTAGACACGGAGTAAAGCAACAGTGAGCTCTGACAGCTCCCAACTCATGAGCCCCGTCTACTGGAAAGATGAGAGTGATCCCCGAGGAGCAAACCCCAACGCTGAGGCAAAAAGGCTCAGCAGCCCAAAGCGCTTTGCAAAACAAGCACGACGCCTCCTTCCCTTCCCAGCTCTGTCTTTGAACCCGGGACCAGAGTTTAAAGTCTCTCTCCTCTCCTTTACTGATTAGCCCTGCTATAAATTTCCGATTCATATGATGCTTCAAAACCTGCTGGGTCCGGCTCCAGCGTCAAGTCAATCCCATTCTCACACATAACCTGCTCAGGTTTCTGGTGTGGTTGTTCCAAACACGCGCAAGTGTGACCGGAGAAGAAACTCTGAAGTTTTAGTAAAACTTTATCCCAGTTCCATGCGTAGTCTCCAAAAGCTGCACACTCCAGAGCCAGGGAAGGCACAAAAAAGCAAATACTTGCTCTATTATTATTGCAAATACTTGCTCCACACCGCAGCCTGGACCGTTCAAATGGGAGAAACGACGCAGATTTATCACAGAAAACCAACCCTCTGTCCAACACACCAGGTTTTAAATAGAGTCTTGATGAAGCATTTTTATGCAGTTCTAGTTTCCGATCCAAATTTGTTTGTAGGATGGAGTTTGGGGTTTTTTTTGTACACAGCATCTTGCCCAGACCGTTACCTGAGACTGTCATCGGCTCCTCCCACCACCACCATGCTGTTATCAGCTCGTATTTTCTCCCGGAAATCTTCCATCGCTTCGACGTTGCACTGCAGGGAATTCTGACCGATCACAAAGAGGACAGGGGTCTTCATCTCCAGGAGGGGGTCGTCGACGTCCTAAAAGAGCAAGAGCAACTGTAATCTGGGGAGGACTGGATCCACGACGCTGAGTCTTCGGAGCTCAACACCTTTCTGAACTAGAGGAGGGTTTTCAGAAAGGGAAGGCAGGTGCCACGGGAGTCAGGCTGCGCTTCACGCGCAATCCCAGCATCTATCAAGTGTGTCCTGAAAGGAGAGATGTATAAATTGTGCGGTTTGTTTAAAAATCTCGTGACAAGGACCCACTCGACAGCTCCACAAGTACACAGCGGCGTTACTCACTAACAGCTGAGACTGAGGCCCCTCTTCCTGAGAAACCCTCTTTCACGTTTCTGCATTTTCCTCCTTCTGAGCTTTTGCTGCACAAGCCCACGACAAAGCTGAAGGAGCTTGATCATCAGCACAAGCCTTCAACATTTCCAACCCAGTCACAGCCTGGACAGTCAATAAAGGAGCAATTTGGGCTCCAGATTCATCAAGCCAAGTCCCCTCCAGTGCCAAAGGTAACAAGTGGCCCCAGGAAGGAGCTAAACAAATCACATCACAGCGGAGATGAGCAGACAGAGGTAATTTTTTACGCCTGGTACCACATCAAGAATCCCGCTATGTATGTGCTCCTCCTCCAGACAGACATTCCACAGAAAAACTCCCAGTTATAACTGGACTTCCAAGCAATCTAGGGAGATTTTTTTAAAAAGATAATTTTTAAAAGTGTTGTTCTTTCGATGGCTCCATCTCCTTTTGGTCCTTACCCCTCTGGGGCCATCGACGGTGAGGAGCGGGAATCCAAGGCACACAACAGCGGTGACGTACTCCATCACTGAAACCTGGGCAGAGAAAAAAACAAAGGTCGGCATCCAACGCATCGAGGGTGCGCAAGTGGCTTTGCCAGGCTTCTGCTGAACACAAAAATATCTTCTGTATTTAGAACTTGCTTTGGTGATTCGGAGGAAAACCAAAAAAAACCCCGCTGACCAACTCAAATTGCTTATGCCCCCGTGACTAGGAAGGGTATCTGTCTCAAAGCCAGGCTTTGGAAAGAGAAAAGGGACAAGAACGACGCCAAGGGAGTCCTGAACAAGAAAATAATTCAAATCTAACTCTCAAGTTGTCAGGAGGGGTTTTAGAGGACACAAAAGAAACGCGTACTTACGTGACAGGCCACTAAGGCACCCGTGTTCCACCCGATCAGGATGATGGGCTTGTGAGAGAAGTGGCTGTGGATCTAGAGAAGAAAAAACCAAAACAAGCACAGATGACGAAGAGGGACGGACAAAGGGACGCTGCCAACGGTTCAGAGGCAGCGGCAAAGGCTCCGCGTTCATCACTCTTCGCTCACCTCGGCCACTTTGCCCCTCAC